CTCGGCAGCAGGTCCCCTGCAGTGCCTCGGCTATCTTGCCGATGTGGCCCGCCATATCTGATGTGTGTGGAGCCGTTGGCGGCTGCGACGCCAGGTTGACGTTCGCCCGAAGTTGGTCGGAGAAATGACACGATGTGAGTCCGTGCCCCGCGACATGCGGAGGCCTGGGACTGTCGGCGTACCGGCGCAGATCGCGTCCGATCGTGGGGTCCGCGGTTTGTCCAATGAGTGCGCTGTCAACCTTTTCCCATGGCATCCTCGAGATCTTCCACGCGCTGCTGTCGAATGCGTTGCATATGTATCTCGGCGGACATTTCAACCCATTGTCGCCAACCGCAGGCGCGTTTTGGAAGAGGAAATCAGGGCACTGCCGAATGGCGTCGTCAATGGCCGAATCCTTCAGGCACAGCCCCGTGAAGGAAAGCCACACACACATGAAGGCGAGCCATGGCGCCGCTGTTGAAGGCGATTGGTTTTTGGGGGGCGATTGCCGCCCAGCAATTCAGCGGTCTCATGCACCGCATGATCGGCAGTGATGATGAGGCCCTGCTTGCTGGAACGGAGCGCGCGCTGTCCGCGCCCATCGGGGCGCTCCTCGAGGTGCAGTGGAGAACTCATCGGGGAGTCTGCCTTGGTGCGGCGGCGGGCAACCTGGGGCTGAAACGCAGGCCCAATGCTGATGGTTCCATCTGCGCCAACAGGAGACACGCCCCCGATCTGCATCCCCTGCAGCTCAATTGGAGCGTTCGCCATGCTGGGCCGAGCTGGAGCGGCGGCGTTGCCTCTGCCACCACTAGGTTGAGAGGGGGGCGCGCGCGATTGCTTGTGATCGTGATAGCGGCTGCGGCAAGGAGTGCTCATGGCAACGCATACGCGCGTGCGAATGATGGGCGCGACAAAAACATTGTTGGGGTCAAAAACAGCGAGACTGGCGTTCTCTGCGGTCACCGGCGCATTCGCGGTCTTCGCATCAGCGGGGGATATGAGCGAAAACTCACATGAATCTTGGCAAAGGTAGACCTTCTTAGATTCAATATGTTTGGTCATCATGTCAGCAACTTGTTCTTTTCCACCAAAGTATTTATTTTGTATGTGTTTCTGCTGACATGTCTGGGTGATCCAGTCCAAGTTCATGCGATGTGTACGATGTAGTGACGGAGTGCTGGTGTCCGTCCTTCCCGGGCGATCGCAATCGCAGCCTCGTTATCTTCAGCCACAAGAGGTGCACCACTGCAGGTGGTGCTTTGGTGGGTGGGGGACGAGGAGCATGAAGTACAATGTCATCGTGCATGATTTGGGGTGATGATGTAGGGGATGGTGGAGTAGCTCTGGTCGATGTCCTGGTACCTGGGGAAGAAGCTCGTGTGGGCGGAGCCCGTCTTGGTGGTGTTTTGCGGCGCTTCCTCCTGGCGGCCGGTGACGTACCGGCCCCGCGGGCCACGTCTTGCACCGCGGCCTCCCAGAATGAAGGGAGGGGTAGACCTTCTGTACGCAAAGCGGTGTCGAGGGCCACCATCTCGGATTATGTGGATGAATGCGACACCGCAGTCTGCTTCTTACATGCGGAATTGGGCGGGACAAATGCGTTGAGGCCCGCCAGCGCAACGCATGCGCCAGTGGTCGACGTCGAGTTGTTGACGCAATCCGCGAAGGAAACGCCAGTGAAGAGCACGATCGAGATTTGATCCAATCTGTCACCAATCCATCCGTGAAGACAATGTGAACGTGTAGATTTCAAGTAACATAGGTTTGTCGCAAGCATAGTTCCACTTGGTGATCTCCCGTGCGAGCATACGGGCGCATGAGGTCAAACCTGCATCACCTTGTCAGGTATGATATCGTCATTCGAACACTGGCCGCGTCGGGGCCAAGGATAACTTCGTCGTTGTAGTATGTTGTAGTCTCTATCCGAGAAGGAAGTATATGCAATGCAGGGGGTGTCAGAATGTGGGAGATCGTCGTAGGCAATGCGCGCGGCGTCGTTTGTGGGTCTTTCAACCGACGCACAAGATCTAGATGCGGGTTTGTTAACCGGCGCACGGAATCGAGGCTGGGTTGTACGTGGCTTGGGCGATGAGGATTTTTTATCGTAAGTGAACCAGGCATCCCAGGTAATTTGGATACGTATTCCAAATATCGCGTAATGTTCTGGTCGGTAAAGCCAAGCGTGTCGTGTTTGACCCTACGAACGTTGGATGCCGATGTGCACTGTTGTGGGTCATGGTCTGGGAGCACGGGTCGGATCGTAGCCGTTCGTTTGGCGAAAACGTTATGTGGTACTTGCCATGTATCTTGACCGCATCCCAAGTAATGGTCGTATTGTGTAGGTGGGTATACCTCGATTCCGCTATATCGTATCAGATCCGATCCTGATATAAGGTTGGCTGTGGGTCCTGTCATTTTGAAGTCATCAACGTATATTGACAGAGTGAGGTTCAGTTTGTCATGTTTCCAGACACGTTCCCGGCCTGGGATGGGGCGGAATCCCACCGATTCTAGGCACGTGCGACAGTGACGCTCCCAAAAGACACCTATGGGTGGCCATAGAGAGCGAGTCGTAGTCAGCAGAAAGGAGTCATGTATTGAGCCCAAGATGTAGGCTGCCGCCACTTGGGTAAAGTAATCCATGTATCCACAGGGTCGATCCGACCGTCTCCGTAGTGTAGAGCCTGAGTATATGCTCCTGGGGCATCACTCTGCTCGCCTCCCTTGCCAGGCAGCAACGCAGTGGCGTCGCATAGCTTGGTGTCCTGGATACAGCGTCGGCGAAAACGGCGGCCAGGCCACTCGTCTTTCATGTTGTCGCCCTGAACCGTAAGGCGTCCCTTGTACTTCTGGAGTTCCAGTGGTCACTTAGCACGCTGGACAGAATATAGTTCTAAGATGTTGTAGAAGTGAACCGTTTTGGATTCCTTTTGTGCGTTGCGGACAACATCGACGTTCCATAACCGCATTGAGCATCCATGTTTGCTGCTTTTCCAGTCGTTCGCACTCTTTGCGAAGTGCGTCTTGTGCTCGTGGTTCAGCCGCAACTTCTTTCTTGGTAGGGCTGCGTGTGACGAGGTGGCGGGTGACGATGCGGGGTGGCTCCCAGTGGGTGGAGTCAAGTTTGCGTTTGTAGTCCGTCAGGAAGAGGAGCATAGATAATGCTGTTGAGTGTTTCGCCCTTCACGTTTTCGTCTCGAGTGACGGTGCTGTTGTGTAGGTCGCAGGTGATGCGTCGATCCGCGGTGGTCCATGAGGGACCGCCACCGTTGGTGTTCAGGAAGTGGAAGGCATTATGGTCGGTTCGTGTCCAGACACGAAAAGCGGAGTTGCGACGTGCTTCTCGAGAACGGAGCACATCTTTGGCGAATTATTTCTCAGCCTGTCGTTCTCTCTTGGACATGCTAGTCCAGAATTCGGGTAGGACATGGTCTGATCGGGATGTAGCCTGGATACGGGTTTTGCGGCCGTGAATGTTGATCTTGCCGTCGGTGGCGTTCTCGGGCCGCCTGTAAGAGCGGACCGTGCCGGCCCAGAATCCACATGGGTGGCGGTGGTCGTTGTCACTGGCGTCCCATCGCGGAAATATTTCTCGCTCTCGAAACTTGACGCGGTCTCGAAGGCACGGATAATGTCAAGCTTGTCGACCAGAACAAAGATCCCGATCACGTCGTCGGCGGGGCGAAAAAGTTGTGTCAGCGGCGCGCGGATGTGACGTAGCAGAGCCTCACCGCTTTAATCCCAGTTGTCGGGCTCAGGAGCTGGAGCCGTCGGCTTTTGTGCCTCGGGAAGGACTGGTTCGGGATGCCTTGTTCCAGGGCCAGAAGCTTCGGGAGTTTCTGTTTCGGGAAGCTTCGAGATATTAGGGTCATCCCACTCAGGTGGGTATGGTAGGACAGGGTCGCCCTTTGCCGGTTCTCCAAGTGGTCGGGATGCTTGGAAAGATATCAATTGATGTGTTTTTTGAGTCTGACAGGGAAAACGCGTCGCCCTTCTGGGATAACTGATCTACACGATGTACATGGCAACGTTCTCCGCCAGGATGCCAGGCGTGCGTGGCGATGTCGGTGATGAGATAGTCGCCAGACCAACGCCCACCAGAATGGAGGTGTTATCCCACGAACAACCCCTCTAGTGTGGACTCGTCAAACTTCGCTGCAGATTTGTCGATGTCCGGGCTCAGACATGTCCAGGAGATGCGAGTGCCAGAAGGAACAACGTGTCCCTGAAAGGATTCTCCAAAGTGAACTTCATGTGGCGTGAAGTCTGTATATGCTTCCTGTGTGGCGGCAACGCCATGACAGGGTCGAGTAGTAAAGTTGCGGCCACAGCCCCACGCCTAGCTTCCTTCCACCAGTCGTGACCCAATGTCGTGTCGCCAGCCCAGTAGGCGGCGTGCTTTTTGCAACTCCCCATAGTTGTCTGTATAAATATGCTTCGCTTCGTCATTCGGGGCGAGAAACTCGAGAAAAGGATGCCTTTGTAGTCTCGGCGTCCTTGTGCTTCGCAGGGCATGCCATGATGGTGCCTCTGAACATGTCCAGCACAACCAGGGCGTATTTGTCGCCATACTGGTCTGCAGCGTCGTCTGCTGCAAGGACGATGTGGTCGGCAGTCAGAGCCTCGCCGAATCGCTTGGGTACGAATGCCTCGTACTGAATGTCATCCGTAGTGGGATCCTTTGGTGGGTTGGGTCGGTGCTGGCGTCGGCGTGGTGCGTTGTGCACCAGAATGCGTGCACAGATCTCACAATCGGACTCTGGGGGGCTGTGAGTAATGTAGTGTGATGGATCCATGGGTGGACGTGGTCTGCCAGGTAGCACATGTGCGGGTGTGCCCACCGGCTCAACTGTGCCAGACATCGAATCAGTCCGACCCGTCGCGAGTGCAGGTGCGTCCACCGGCGCCGTAGCCTTATGCCTGAGTGCAGGTGTGTCTACTGGCGCAATCGGATCATCCACAACATTTGCATGTGAATAGAGACGAACTGTTGTCGTTCCGTTGTCGTGCGCGTCGTCGACGTTGGTGTAGGTATTGTGGCACACAAATGAGGCGGCGAAATCTTTTGTAGATTATAGAAGTCGAGCTCTGGAATCCAGTTATTTAATCGCTTCGCTCATTCCGCCGGCCCATACAGTCTCATGTCTGCCGTTTGCCCGAGGGCCTGGTGTCAATGCGGCGCTTTGGGGGTTCCTGGGGCCGCTTGGGGGACTCCTGGGGCGCTCGGGGGGGCATTTGGGGGGCCTCCTGGGGCCGCTTGGGGGACTCTTGGGGGCCTCCTGAGGGCCCCGTGGGGGCCTCTTGGGGCCTCTTAGGGGCCTCGTAGGGGCTTCTTAGGGCCGAGGGCTCGAAATGTTGTTTCGTGTTCCCTCTCTGGGGCCCCTTTGGGGGCGTTCTTGGGGCCCTCTTGGACCGTTTTGGAGGCTTCTTGGGCCGTCTTCGAGCCCTCTTGGGCCATCTTGGGGCCCTCTTGGGTGCCTCTTGGGCCCTCTTGGGGCGATCTTGGGGGCCTCTTGGGCCGTCTTGGGGCGTCGGGAAGCCGAAAAGGTGGAAGCTCCAAAATCTCTCAAAAACCTATGGAAAAACAATGATTTTTGCCTCCGGGGGCCCTATTGGGAGTGCTCTTGGAGGCCTCTTGGGGCGTCTGGGGGCTATCTTGGGCGTCTTGGAGCGATCTTGTGGCATGTCGGACCCCTCGTGTACCATCTTGGGGGCCTCTTGGGGGCCTCTTGGCCTTTCTTGGGGCTCTCGGGGACGTCTCGGAGCCCTGTTGGTGCGCTCATGGAGCGCTCGGGGGGACCCGGCCGGGACCTGGTCGGGGTACTTTTCGTCCGGGGACCCCCAGGGGCCGCCCCGCGCGCGCGAACTAGAAAATTGTTAACCAGTTACCGGAGATCTTAGCACGCCTCTGGCCCGTTGGGCCGGCGAATTGTCGTTGCCTCAGTTCCATTGACCACGAGGGTCTTGTAGAAGGTAACCAAGCTGCGGAACCCAGATCTGCCTGAAGCCGTCCTCCTGTACCAGTTGTCTTACAGATAGTACCGATGGACACTCGTTCATTGTTAGTGCCGAACTGGGTAGTCGAATCTGCAGTAGTGTGAGGTGGGTATGCTCGTTGACGATGCGGTCACCGTTGGCTGTTTCGTGTATATGTTCTCGTTCTTGATTCACGTGAGTAGTTTCGTGTGGTTGAAGGTTAGCCTTGTCTTGGATGTGATGGGCGGAGCCGCTGTCCAATATCCATGTTCGTGACAGCGCTGCTGTGGACCGTGGCGTTGTCTCAGACTCAGGCGGGGGTGTTGCCACCGTCGCAGTGTTGTGGGTCGGCGGTAGGTCAAACACCATGGCAAGTCTGGAAGTCTGCGTGAGCTCGTCGTGCAAGCGTTGTGCCTCAGTCTGGCTGTTACGCAGCGCGCGTGCGCTCTCTTCCGGCCACCAATCTGGTAACGTTTCAGGCACGTCGACATGTTCACCTTGGCAATACGAGGAGTCTTTTCATTTGTACAGTTTGTGGTCAACTTGATAGGTAATGATGTCCACGTTCTTGAAGTCAAAACGTAGTTGCCGCAGCGATGAGTCAGCTAGAAGAAGGAGCCTCTCACGCGTCACATATGCTCGGTCACGCCTTCGGTCGTGCCGCGTCGCCGCTGGGGATCGTGCGCGGTCACGGGTGGATGGTGATCGGATTGCGGCCGCGAGATGTGGATTGGCTGCCGTTTCTGTCACTCCTGGTGGGGGAGCGTCCACGATGGTGGTCCCGGCTGGAGTTCCGCGATAAGGATTTGGAGCGCTGCGGGGAGCGGGGTGACCATCCGCGACCCCCTAGACCGCGTGAGTCGGGCCGTCCCCCGCGCCCAGGAGACGGCGTACCTCGTCGTGACCAGCGCGCGCTCCCCGGATTGCGGGAGTTCTGCCGCCCCTTGTGGGAGGGTGTCTTGTGGCGGCTGTCTTGGCTGAGCGTCCGACTGGGGTTCCTCTTAGGAGTTTTCGCGCCGGGGTCGATGCGCGCGCATCGGCAGCTGTTCCCATGCTTGCATGTTAGCTTCGGGTCCACATGGAAACTGCATTTGAGAATGTGCGGGCATTGGCAGCGATCTCGTAGTGGGCAGGAGCCGCGTTTCGCGAAGGCGAAACAGAAGCTCTGTTTGGCCTTGTCCTTCTGCGGTGGCTTGGACGTTCGGCCAGCGGAAGGTCGCCTGTCGCGGGCGTCTCTGCCTCAGGTGGAAGGTCGTCGTGGAGGTCGTCGCGTGTGGAGCGGTTGCCGGAGCCCATGCGCACCATCTTGCACCTTTCTTTCTTCTTACAATTCTTACAACGTCCAGACTGAAACGCTGCACAGATGACGGAATCATGTCGTGTCGATTTATTGTTGAGGTTGTGCCAGTTGCGTTCAAGTCGGTGCAGTCCAAGGTTGGCGAGAACACGTTTTCGAAGCCACTCGCATGTTCGATTGGGGTCGTCATGTATCATCAGTCGTGTATGTCCTGCTTCATTGGCGTCGGCGGATCTGAGCTCGGAAGAACGACGCAAATATTATCGTACCGGGTGGGTCGCGGCACTACAAAAGTAGGTTGTCCCAGTCCACAAACCGTTATAGGTCGTCGTCCCGCATGTGGATAAGTGGTAGACGTTCGAAGTCATGCGTCGCGTCGTCGACCGCGGTGACTTTGTAGGATTGGAGCATTGTCCAGTATATTTGTCTACCTTTCAGCTTTATGTTGCTGAGCTGCGTGGTTCTTGATACGGTTCCTGGGCCCAGTATTGAGGATTGCCGTGAGTCCAGCAGCGAGTTTGCAGTCTATGCTCTCGAAGTCGCCGCTGTCCTGGAGGTCGTCGGAGGTTGTGTTTGGTCGTTCGGCGATGCGTAGGAATGCGTAGGTCTTGGCAGGGCTTCCAGAGGCGTTGCCAAAATTGTTGCGAGCCATGTGTCGCCATTCTTGTAGTTGAGTAGTGCGTGGCAGTTGTGGGATGCGTACATTGTCTGATACTTTGGTTGGAGCAGTACTTTGGCTATCCTCCTCCCCCTCCTAAATCTCCCCCCGAATGTACCCTTTTTCCCGCGGCGGGCTGGCCTCCTAGAGTTCAGATTCTCCCCTTTGTCCCTCTTCCCTGTTGCTGCCTTGCTTGCGACTGCGCTTGCTGCTTCGTCGGGGCCGCCCGCTCGTCCTCCCTCGCCCGCAGGTCGACTGGCCCGCCGCTGCTCCTGGCCGGCACCGCGGCTACCGCTGCCGCGACCAGCGACGCCAGCACTTCCACGACGACTGCCACGACCGCGGCTACGACGGCGACGTCCCATCCCACGACCAGGCCCTCCCCCACTTCCAGGCAAACTACCACACACTCCACTGCGGCTACGACCAGGGCCACGACCGCTGCCACGACCATGACAACGACCAGCGACGCCTGCACTGCCACGTCGACTACCACGTCCGCGGCTACGACGCTTACGACCCCTCCCGCGACCATGAGTACTCCCACTGCCACGCCAACTACCACGACCTCGACCACAACCACGACCTGGGCCACGACCACTACCGCGACCATGACCACGACCAGCGACGCCTGCACTACCACGCCGGCTACCACGACCGCGGCTACGACGCTCATGATCCATCCCACGACCATGTCTACTCCCACTGCCACGCTAACTACCACGACCTCCACTACGACCACGACCAGGGCCACGGCCGCGAGCATTCCTACGGCGACGAGGGACGCGATCGCGGCCACCACCACGGCCACGTCCAGCGACGCCAGCAGTACCGCGTCAACTACCACGACTGCGTCGACGACGGCTACGGCTCCTCCCACGACCACGACCACGCCTGCTCCCACGCCAACTACCACGACCTCCACTACGACCACGACCGGGGCCACGACCGCTACCACGGCGACATCGACCACCACCGACGACGGCTTCGCCGGCATCGGCTCCGACGGCGGCTTCGGCACCACCTCCGACGGCGGCCCCCGCGCCGACGACTCCGACACGAGCTCCAGCCGCGACCCCGGGGCTGGTTCCGGCGGAGATGCCGATTGGCTCGGCGTTGCTCACGACGTCTGCGGCGTTGGCTCCGAAAGCAATTCCGACGGCAGCATCGACGAGGCTTTTGACGCCTACCTCGACAGCGGCACCAGCGCCGGCTCCGACAACGACACCGTCGGCGTCTCCGACGCCGGCTCCGACGGCAGCCCCACGGCCGTACAGGTCGACGCTCCCGACGCCAGCTCCGAGGGCGACACCGGCGACATCTTCGGAGGAGACTTTGACGCCAGTTCCGAGGGCGACCCCAGAGCCAGCTCGAGGGGCGACACCAGCGCCTACGCCGGCATGAACGCCAGCGCCGACACCAGCACCAGCGCCAGCATCGACGCCAGCGCCAACGCCCGCGCCTACGCCGACACCAACGCCAGAGCCTACGCCACCGTCGACGACACCACCGACGACAACGCCAACGCCCGCGCCTACGCCGGCATGAACGCCAGCGGCAGCACCAGCATCGACGCCAGCGCCAACGCTCGCGCCTACGCTGGCACCAACGCCAGAGCCTACGCCACCGTCGAGAACAGCACCGACGACTGCACCAACGCCGGCGCCCACGCGGGCATGAATGCCAGCGCCTACACCAGCACCAGCGCCAGCATCGACGCCAGCGCCAACGCCCGCGCCTACGCCGACACCAACGCCAGAGCCTGCGCCACCGTCGACGACACCACCGACGACAGCAACAACGCCCGCGCCTACGCTGGCATGAATGCCAGCGCCTACACCAGCACCAGCGCCAGCATCGACGCCAGCGCCAACGCCCGCGCCTATGCCGGCACAAACGCCAGAGCCTACGCCACCATCGACGACAGCACCGACGACAGCACCAACGCCCGCGTCTACGCTGGCATGAATGCCAGCGCCTACACCAGCACCAGCGCCAGCATCGACGCCAGCGCCAACGCCCGCGCCTATGCCAGCACAAACGCCAGAGCCCACGCCACCGTCGACGACAGCACCGACGGCAGCACCAACGCCGGCGCCTACGCCGGCATGAGCGCCAGCGCCTACGCCACCACCAGCGCCAGCATCGACGCCAGCACCAACGCCCGCGCCTACGCCGGCACCAACGCCAGAGCCTACGCCACCATCGACGACAGCACCGACGACAGCACCAACGCCGGCGCCTCGGTCGGCATGAACGCCAGTGCCTACACCAGCACCAGCGCCAGCATCGACGCCAGCGCCAACGCCCGCGCCTACGACAGCACCAACGCCAGAGCCTACGCCACTGTCCACGACAGCACCGGCGCGAGCACGACTACGACGACGAGTCCGAGCACGAACCAGTGCAAACAGCACTACCAGCATCACCACGGGCATAACCAGTGCAATCAGCACGACCACACACAGACGACCAGCACCAGCGACACGGGCAACCAGCACGACCACCTGTGCAACCAGCATGCCTACGACTGCCACGAGTACGAACACTACAGCGGCAACCACCGCCGATGCGGCGATTCCTACCACCAGCACCGGCTCGGCTCCCACGACTGCGAGGACCAGCTCCTGGGCGCTACACACCAGATTTACTTTCACCAGCACTACAGTTCAGCCGCCGCATCCGCGCGCCGCATGCGCGTCGGGAGCGGCATGCACTTCTGCGTGCCCATGTGGATTCCCATCTCCCGACTCTCAATGGCCAGCGCGCTGCCTTTCGCATGGGGCCTCACTCGCTCTCGGTGGAGTGCACAGTATCCTCCAACGAGCCCCCGCGCTCCTCGCAGCTCTCCCAATCGTGGCTCCTTCGGTCATGTTATGGGCTGCGACGGGGCAGGTCCTGAGCTCCACGCTCGGGGCGGCGCTTCCCGTCCCCGTGCACCCGGCGTTGCTCCTCGCCTCCGCCTGCGTGTCCCCAGCTTCTCTCGAGGTCGTCGTCTATGGGGCCATGGTGCACGGCGGACCCGCGCAGCGGGGCTTGGCAGCGATCTGTGCGACGGCTCTCGCTCACAACTTCCACGTCCGACGCCCCCTGTGCGAGGCTTTGGCGCTGGCTTCCACGGCGGCCCTCAGCCCAGCGTGGTTTTGCCCAGCGAGCCCCGCTGCTTGGGCCGGCCAGGTGGTCCTCCTCGTTCGGGCGGTCACCACGCCTGCTTTCCCCGCTTCGGATGGCATTTGCGCCACGTGCCAATGGGAGACTAATCGGTGCACGTGCCGGCGGGGCGGTTCCCGCAGCCCTCAGCGTCCGAGCGCCGCGGCGGCTTCCTCTGCCTCTGCGGGCCCAGCGAGGCAGGAGGTACACGTGAGCAACACGTTTGTCGAGGCGGGGCCAGCGGTTCGCTCCCCTGGGCGACACCTCCGGCGCAACCGGACTGATGGGGATGAGCCGCTCCTGGTCGTGGGACTCGGCGGGTTGAATCTCGACCCTGCCAGGGACATGCATGTGGGCGCGGGGATTCCTTTGGAGGAACAGCGCCGGGCCGAGGCGTTCAACCGCCCCCCGGTCAGCGCTCCTGGGGAGGGCGCCCCGCCGCCCGGGGCTCCACAGGCAGCGCCGCCAGCCGGGCAAGAGATACCAGCCCCCCCTCCCCCGGCGCCCGATCCTGCCCACCAGCGCAGGGTTCGTGCCCGCGTCCGGGTGCACTGCCCCGTCCCTGGGCGCCCGCGCGGCGACGCCGCGTCCTCCGCCGGCTGGGGGGACCACCAAAGCATGCGCCCGCACCTGAACGAGCACGCCGCCGGGCGGTTCCTTGGGCTGCCACCAGTCCCGCCCGAGTACCTGCAAGAGCACCGGTTGGAGCAATGCTCGGTCTGCCAACGGTTCTTGTCGACGCGCTTCGGCGGCATCTGCCCGCGTTGCCGCCCTGCCGCGCGCGCGGCCGCAGCCGTGGCAGCCGCCGCTCCCGCCGCTGGCGGCC